GCTCCAAGTACTGCTGTTTGATCATATTGGCACTGTGTTGTGATTGATGAATTGAATGGCTTTCGGATTAATGCATGACAACTTGTTTGTGACTAGGACAACCTATGATGAGGACTGAGATGTGCAGTAGAACGATGTAGGGGTTCAGTTTTTCAACTGTTTGCTTACCAACTGTGACTTGATTTGATCACTTGTTCTTGACAGTCGTTTATGCATCTAGTTCAGGGTATTAGAATGTGAGATAGAGCATATAGGTAGCCATGTGAGATTTGAGCCTGCTCGTTTCTTTCTTGTGCGATAGATCCCTCTTCCATGATGTGTAGCATTCACGTTGTCACTAGCTAAGATGATGGGGGCATAGGATTAGCCCACGACCAAAATTGACTGTCCTGATGTGTCATATGCCCTAGTCAGCCCCTTTGAGCCATGTGTTATCCTTTCTTTTTGTCTCTAATGAAAAAAAATCACCCTTTTGCATCTTTTAGAAGGTTCCACAGAGTGATTTTTACATATTCTCTGCTGTTGCTGCTACAGTTGATGTGAGTGTTAGAGGTAGTGCTTAAAAGTTGGGCATGTGTTTGAAATATGTGCAGACGTGGTGGTTCTCTTAAGAAATGAAAAGAAAATGAAAGAAAAAAACAAAGAAAAATTGAAAGCAAAAGAGAGCCACTACCAAAAATCTGAATAATGCCCATTAAGTAGTGTTTCTTAGCAGTCTGGCTTGGAAATGCTGACGTTTATACCTCCTTCGCTCTTGTGCTCTTGAGATATTGAGTAATGCAGAATAGCAGAAAGGAAATACTGGTTTGTTTGATTGTGATTGTGTGGGTTTGGAAATGTGGAACCTTGTGCTATGAATACTTCCACCACCTAAAAGGCCTTTTCCCCATGTCCAAGACCCGAGCCAGTCATTTGAACCTGTGTCTAAGACCTCCTGATTAGTTAGTGATGACACCCTATATGTGAACTCTAGCATTTAGAGGCTGCCATCATGGTGAAGAGATGATAGGGATTGAGAGAAATAGCATGCGCATTTTTCGCATCAAATCATCCTGACCCCACTGGTCGAGAGTGAGTGATTCATTTTCATATTCTTTATACTCTTGTACCCCGGTGAGGACCTAGATTGCTCGGTCTCTGTTCTGATGTCTTGAGTTGGATGCATGAGTTGACTGTTTTGAGTGAGTGGTTGATTCAAGTCTAGCTTGGTTGGTGAACAGAAGGGAGACTCTTCCTTTACTCGATTGGCTGCACTCGAATGTCCTTTGTGGTGGTTGTCCAGGTTGTTGTTGAGGCTGTTCATGTGTTGATGTTTGAAAACCAGTACGATTCACGTGTTGTGTGCCTTTATGACTTGCCCCCAATGTTGGTTGATTGAAATATGTAAGCTTACCTGGTGTCTGACTTGGTTTGCTTGGGGACAAGCAAACGGTTAAGTGTGGGGGAGTTTGATAGACCGTTAATTACACATGTTTTTACCCCCGTTCTTACACCGTTTGAGGTGTTGATTCTCGTGTTTTAGGCCGATTTCACGCTAGGTTGTGCTTGTTTGTGATATTTCAGGTCCTAGTACGTGAATGGAGGCTTGGGAGCGAGTCTGGGGTCGATTGGACGAAGATCGGACGCGTGGCGAGGTGCCAAGGAAGCCGCACGGGCAGACCGGGGTATCACACGGCCGTGCAACTGACAATTGTGGCCGTGTGATTTCCGCCGAGAGCATACACGGGCAACTCAGGAAATCCACACGGCCGTGCAACCCTGGCCGTGTCAGATGGCTGAAGATCGAACTTAATGGGACGCTGCGTTTTGACTCACACGGCCAAATGGGTGAGCCACACGGCCGTGTGGCCTGCCCGTGTGAGTCGGGAAATTCTGGTTTTTCAGCCAATTTCGAGCCAAAAGTGTGAGAATCGGATTTTCAGAGCAAAAACAGAGCCCTAGAGAGAGAAAGTACGAAGAACACATCCTAGAAGCTATCTTGGAGCTGGGTTTCGTCAAATCGAGCTTGGAGATCGTCATAGGAGTGGAAATCATCATCCCGGAGCAGATTCTCCTCATCATTATGAGTATGACTAATCCGATTACTGTTTTCTTCTCTCTCTCTATGGAGTAGAACCCTTCTCTCACTTGGGTATGAAGAACCCTAGTTCCTTGTGTTAGGGATTTGATTGTAATGACTTGGGATGATTATACTGTTTGATTTTAATTGAATGATGCATGTTTATTGAATTGTTTGAAGTCTGATCAGCTTTTCTCGATTTCTGCTGCAACCTGAGATAGATAGAATCTGATTAGGTTGTTAGAGCCTCTTCATTCGATAGTAGGAGATTGGTTATACGAGAGTTAGCCAGTTTACTGCTTTGTACTGGAATTGAATTCCAGTAGTGGAGTTCTGTGCTTATTGCTTCAGCTTTCTATCCCGGTGAAGACTAGTCGTCTGTCGGGTAGTTAGACTGAGAGGGCTTGGTCAGCTTAAGAGATTCCAAGCTAATTTCGGATCTTCCGCAGTTTAATCAACAGTGAATCAACCCAGGGGAATTATAATTGAACCTAACTAAGGGGCTAGGGGGACTCATTCCCGAGTGACTCTTTCCTGCTTTTGAAAACCGAACCATTTACTGCTTTCTTGCTGCTTTTGCTTTAAACAACAATCACTCGAATTAGTTTGCTAGATAATAAATCATCACGGAGTAAGCAGTAGATCTAGACCCCGGGTTGATAATAGAACTTGCCTGTTACTGCATTCCCGGACTGCGATTATACTTGGTCGCAGTTTGGTGTTGTGTTTTGGCGTGTCACTAAGCTTAACTAAATACCAAGTCTTCCGCAACATTGAAAGAATCAGCTAATATCTCACAGCAAAGCAACATAAATATTCAGTCAGCTGAAAACACAAGTCTCAGTTTGTTAAAGTACTAAACTAAAAGAAGCTATTAACATTCACCTGTGCATCCATTTTTCCATTCTGTCTCACATTGTAATATACTATCATTGCAAAAGACTATAAACCTCTGTCCACTCCACTCTGCATCGCATGGCAAAGGGAGCCACACAAAATGACATATCAAACTCTAGTTATTGTTTATGAAACAAAGAGGGGATGTCATGGCTGCGTCTGCAGTCTTTGGACACCCGATTCTATCTATCAATATCTTGCAATCTGTTGAGGTGATTTTCCCAGCCACTAGGAGTATACCTAGATACCTCACTAGCAGATGTCCCTCCTGGAAACCAGACTTTCCTATGAAATGGCATATCGAACTATAGCTAAAGATTCACTATGCATCAAAGAGACTAGTTTCTTTAGCACCCTCTTTTTTACACAAAATCTGCCATGGAGAGCAGCATAGCAAGCAAAAAACCCGACCAGAGTAGAAATCTCAGAACCAAAAACAGTCAGACGTAATTGACTAGGAAAAAGACAGATGGAACATTACCTGATTGTTTTCAGCATCTTCCATCCAGTTTTGTCCGAGAAACTGTCACTGATGAACCTCGCCATGGCATCCATGTGTTTCTTCACCTCCCTTAACTCCTCTTTCAAAGCAGTCGCATCTGCACATGAATGACCAGCCAAACAAGATCCACATGCAGCCCCTCTTGAGCACACTCCAAAATATGTGGTCGGAGTTGGCCCTAACCCCATGCATCGGAGCCTCCCGTTATGCTTCGTGCCCGCTAGCTTCTGAAAAACTTCCTCCCTAGGGACCTCCATTTTGGTTGCTTTATCCTTTATGAAACAACAATTTAAAAATGCATAGGAATCAGAATGCAGCATAATAAATTAGTAGAATCAAAGAAAAGTATTGGTCTTACCATGAAATCCTTAGCATAGTCATTAATGTATTTTCCGTCATTCCTCTTATGGAGAACTTCAAAAACTTCAAGTCTAGTAGGGGCTTTGCCTAATTTTGCCCTCTATAAGCATTAACATATTCGAGATTAGAACAACATAGACAAGTTCAATAATTGTCTAGAGCTAAACTGGATTAAATTTTTACCAATTCCTCTCTTATCCTTGCAATACTCCTCCTTCCTGCCGTGTGATGCAGCTTCTTCTTCTTAGCGTTGTCGCTGTTTACTTTACTCATTTTATGGAAGAGAATTTAGTTTTTCATCATGTGCATCTAAACTAAGACATATTACGCATAATGCTTTCCACTATTGGTAAACCGTTAGTAATCTTACCTTGCTTTTCTCTGTAAACCAGCTAGCTACCAAGGTGTACCACTGATTTACATCGGTAACACCTTGTGGGAGTCCCTCAGCCATAATGCTCTCCACTGTTTTCCCAACTCCAAAGTGCTTGCTCTTTAGATCACACTTGAACTCTACCCACTTCCGGTTAACAGCTTGCAAAATCCACTTGTCCAGATAGGCAGGATATCGAAACTTTGACTACACACAAGAAAACAAAGAAGAAACAACAACAATTACCAAGTGCATAAAGATGAAAGTACGAAGTGATATATTAGATCCTTAGCTAGCTACTGATCAATTAGTTCCCACAGCAGATAGTTGAATAACAGTTTCATTGGCGTAAAGTCCACTAGCTAGGTAGTTGCCATTAATGCAAATATTCTTGACCAAGCCAGAAAGAAGAGATCTCAGAAATTACTACTGATCAAAACTCACTTGAAAATTAACGAGAGCAAACCAAAGATGAGGAGAAACTATTCTCCACCAGGACAAAACACCTTTGATGCCATATGCAGCCTTCTCTCTGACAGAGTAGTAAAGAAGCTTCTCTACATATATGTATATAAGCCGTAGAGCTAGCTAGATGGAAACCATAATAATGGCGTTGGACGCTATATATGGGAAATGGAGAAGAGGAAGAAGATGTGGCCTCTTTGGTCTTGTTTTTCTTGGGCTTTTGTGTATCTCAATCTCTGGTATGCTGTTACAGAACACTACTAGTAAATCAGAAAGGGTGATGAAGCTCAAAAACTGCAGAAGGCAGAGAAGAGCGGCTCAAAAGGCTTGAGGAGGGTGGAAGTTGGAGAAGGAGAGTGTTTTACCTTGGTGATTTTCAGTATTTGCCTGTGAAATGGTTTGAACTCTCTTCTTTTCCAATGCTCTATCGACAGTGGAGTCAAGGTGTTGTTCTTTGCAATTGTCCCAAGAAAGGATGCAAAAAGAGATGACTCGCCACCACAAGGAACACCAAATTCGTCAATCTCCAATTCGATCCTTTCACTTGCATCCATGTTCCATACATCTTGCACTCTCGTCTTTTCTCGTGTTTTCTGATTTCTGCCATTTTCACCTGACACCGAATGACAAATTAACTATTGTAACTGCAGGCCCATGACAGAAAATCAAGACAGAAAAGTCAAGGGTTCACGCTGGGTTGGCCTTTGTGAAAGCAAACCAAAGAAAGGGCTTCTGATCCACAAGTTAATATATTACATTCTAGTTTCTACTATGTCTTCAAGTTAATTAGAAGAGGAGGGCAAGCAAGGATGAAAGGAAGGGGTAACTTTTGATATTCCATATAGTACCTATGCTAGCAGACCCTTCCACATGTTGAGACCCTTCCTCATGTTGAGACGATGAGTGTCCATGCTGAAAACCCTCTTGAGCATCAGATTCAGTAACGATTCTCAAATTTCTTAGATTCCTTGAACTTGAAACCATCTGCGGTCATGAAAACAACAACAGTAAGAGGAAAGGCATAAAGAAGCTGCAAAATGACCATCATGAACAGACAAGTCGAAAAGGAGAAGCAGAAACCGAACTTATAACAAGAACAAGTTGATCAAATAACTCCAGTTGTTAAGAAAAACATCTCGAGGTTCAATAATAGATCTTGTAACACATTATACCACATGCATAGACTTGTTTAGTATGCAAACCTTGTGCTAAATATACTTATGTCTTTTACTCTTTTTGCTTTATTACTGCGAAGGAGAGTATAGTCCCCAGTCCCTCCATAGATTTCAGAAGCTCGGCCCCCACAAGGCTCTTTAAATTGCAGAGCTCATGACAAAATTGAAGGATTCCAACAGAACCAACAATGCTGATAGAGGACAGTAAACATCAGAAAAGTTTATAACTACCAAACTCAAACAACAACACCCCTCTTTCTCACTTTAAAAGACTAACCAAAGACTAGAATCAAATATTCTAACACACATTTGTGAAACAATTACAACTCTTGTTTCGAAGACACAGCTAAACAGCCCATTAGACACAAAGCTTAGGAACCACAGATGGAAAGCAATTATTACATCAAACTACTAATCAGTGTTCATTCTGTAGCATCAGCAAGCTACACAAACTACTGATATGGAACCATAAAGCATAAAGATGTGATGGCGGTTCCCATTTGGGTACTCCCCTGGAGATGCCAAAGAAAGCAAAATTCATCAATCCACTGACACTGTCTTTTCGAATGCACTAATCAGTTTCATGTAGTAAGCCATAAATTACTTATAGCAGACTGTGAACATACCTAGAAGCATAGTACACCTAGTTAAACTTTGATCTCAAGCAAACAAGAACATAGATTGAAGAAATTGGAGCTGAACGGAGCTAAGAACTACAAACCCTAAGAGACTGCAAATGAGCTCGCTCGCGCGGGAGAGGCAAGCGAGGAAAGCAAAGAGTGTCAGGGAGACAAGGAAGAATAACCTTTCAACCGAAGCGAGCGAGCAATATCCGACAATCGCCTGTCAACCTAATCGAGTGAGGGAGATCGGAGAAGCGACGACCAGAGTGAGTGAGGGAGATCTGAGAAGTGACGACCGAAGTGAGCGAGGGAGATCGAGAAGCGAAAGCTGGAGTGAGCGAGGGAGATCGGAGAAGCGACGGCTGGAGTGAGCGAGGGAGATGCCTTCAGTCGCGAATCACCCTTCAGTCGTGAATCACCCTTTCAGTCGAAATCACCCTTTACCTTTGAATAAATGTGTCGTTTTATATATTTTGAATTGATAAACAAATTGTTTAAATAAATATTATTAATTTTTTGGGCTTTCTGGAATTGATAGGACGTCCCATTACCCGTTCCTTTTCACAAGTCTTACTCCCCACCCTTCTTAAATTAAAATAACTCAGAGAAACCCCATAGCTAGCCAGAAAGAAACCCCAGAAAGTCATTTATGGTCCAGAGCAAAGAAGCACGCATAGTAAAATTCTGCTTAGTGGAAGCATCATAAGTAGTCACACCGTCCCAAAGTCGGATCAAGTCTTCAATCATCAGTTCTAAGTAGATATCAATATTATTTTTGGGGCCTTTGGTTCTAGGAATTATCATTGATAATATGAAAGAGGATTGTTTCAAGTACATCCAACGAGGCATATTATAAGGTATCAACACCACAGGCCACGTACTATGGGTTGATCTCATTGATCGATGCGGAGTAAACTCATCACTACTTAGAGCCAATCTGATATTGCGTGGATCCGAAGCAAAACTAGGGTGTCTAGCATCAAAAGATTTCCAAGCTTCTCCATCAGCCGGATGTCTCAACAATCCATCTTTTTTACGAACTTCATCATGCCACCTCATGTGTTTTGTTGTCTTTTCAGAGGCAAACAATCTTTGTAACCTCGGGATTAATGGAAAATAACGCAAAATTTTTGTTGCTTTAACCTTGAGCCCATCGATTTTTCCAACAACATACCTAGATTTACGACAAACATAGCAAGAAACGACATCTTTTGTAGAATTCCAATACAAACTGCAATCAGTCGGGCATGCTTCAATTTTGACATAATCCAAACCCAACTTTTTAACCACCTTCATAGCAGCATAATGAGATTTTGGTAAGGATATACCTCCCGGAAATGCTTGCAGTAACAACTCAAGTAACATGGTGAAGGATTTTGCAGTCCATCCATTGTGAACCTTGAGGTGATATAAGTGCATCAGAAACGATAGCTTTGAAAATGTGTTGCACCCCGGATATAGCTCCTCATCTGTATATTTTATCAAATCTTATATTCCACCTATATTGTACAACGGATCATCCCTTACTTCATCACCATCATCTTCTTCATCACTATCCTCCAAGACATTTCCATCCTGTTCACAAGCTAGTTCGTTGTTCACTAGGTCTTCACGGTGAAATAAATCCCGAAATAGCCAAAACACTTGCCCATGGCGAGGAAGAAGTAGCAACATCACTAGTTTGAGGTGAACATAAAGTTTCTCCATGAAATACCCATGTAGTATATCCTCTTAGAATACCGTCACAAATGAGGTGCACCCGAATATCTTCACATGTTTGTGCATATACATTTAGACAATTGATACAAGGACACAATATCTTTGCTCCATGAGATGCATTTCGAAATGCATAATCAAGAAAAAGTTGTACTCCGTCCTTTATATTCATTGCTCGTTCTATGTTTCTTCGTCCCGCTCTTGTCCATTTTGCCGATTATAGATATCACTGCAAGTCAAAATCAATAGATTCCATCAATCAAAATTTGGACTGTGATGAACTGAGTTGTTTGGCTCAAGAAGAAAGTTTCCCTAAAACACCAAACTGCTTCCAGAAGTTTAAGTAAAACAACAATGACCTATAAGGCAAAAAAACCCAAATTGTTGCCTCAATCACATCAATGAACAGTGCAGAGCAAGCAAGTTCGAGTTGTCGTCCATACATACGTTTGAATGAGACTCATCAAAGTATGCTTTAGGGTTCTTGAGCCTAGAACCTAAAGTGGTGATAGTTTTATCCACGGGAGAAATTTCCTGTAACCCAAGGCTTTGTAGAGGGTGGAAATATTCTTTTCGGAAAGTGAACGTAGTTCACGATTCTGTCACAATCCTGGACACCTAGTCTCGGGCTATCGTGCGTGTACCCTCGTCCCAAAAGTCCCAACAAAAAATTGAAATAAAATGGACCAATAATGGGACGTGGCGGGAATGACGGGTCGAAAGTACATACACATGCCTCTCCCATGCTACTGTGAGTAAGGTAATACTCACTCTATCGCAAATCAAATCGGATAATACCGCCAACAGAAAGAAATTCAAATTGTCATCCTAGGCAATTATCTAGAGAAATCTTAAAATAAGACAATTTAATGGCATAGCAAACTTCCATAAAAAAAATAATAAAACCAGAACAAATCGTTGGTAATAATAATTATATATATATAGTCTACCATTACAAGACTTTGGCCATAGAGATTGTCAAGTAGGGAGATGATCTCATTGTAAATGTATATCAAATCATCAAAATCAAATCAAATCAAATCAAATCATCAAACAATCAAACAATATATTATGGAGGTTCTCCTCCGGCATCTCCTTAATCTTACTTTTCCCTGCTCCGGCGTATACCACGGAAGGGGGCTTTTGTCATTTCAATTTCACTTATTAAAGGACGAATAGTTTAATTATATGGGCTTGGGTACTTATTTCCAGCTTGCTAACTAATAATTAGTCAGTATTATGGGCTACCATTCACCATGTCCATGCATTTTAGGTTATGGATTATTATATTACTCACACCTGACTCTTATTACTTATTAGGCATTTAGTCCATTAAATGAGACACTTGCAAAGTGCAGGTTGCAAGAAAACCATCATTTTCATAATCGGATAAGATGGTGAACCGAAAAAGTTAGTGGTTCATGCTTGAATGATTAAATAATATAGAATTGTTGGTTAACTGTTGATAGAATCGTTCATGCGCTATAGTATACAAGACATATATAATACACTAATTCATATATGAATGGGTTATAGATATAATATAACCCTCTACTATGACGTTTTATCAAACATGCCCCTATACTATTTCTTACACTGTACTTTGTAAAAATGATCAAACATGCCCTTTTGTTAAAACTTTCATCCAAAAACCGTTAACCAAGGCCGAACTTTAATTTTGGCGACACAAATGACTAAAATATCCCTATTAAATTCACTTTCGAAATTTTTTGGTTCTTTTGTATAATCAAATCATTCAAATAATTTCACTTTGAAAAGACCTAGGGAAATAAAACAGGGGACAAAATTAACATTTCCCTCCCATTTGCCGATGCCGGGTCGTCTAAATCTCAATTCAATCATGATTAACGACTTTTTCAATGGAAATTTTAATATAAGGGCATGTTTGATAATTGTTTCAAAGTACATGGGCATATTTGATGTAAAAAATAGTAGAGGGGCATGTTTGACAAAACGTCATAGTAGAGGGGCATATTATACCTATAATCCTCTATGAATTTATCACTACCCAAACAAAGTTACAAATCCAAAGCTGAACTCATGAGTTCATTCCAATAGATATACAACAAACAAATAGTGGCTGAATTGAATAGGAATACCAAAAAATTATATTATCTTGCAATTGTATTCATGCTACACCTATCGTAACTTTACAATTAAGTAGCAATAATTGCTACGGACAGTAGTGCTAAAAAGGCGGGATACATAATCATACACAATAATTAATTCTCTCCCGACTACTATATAATACATGGATTAGAGACATCCTGCTACTTCCATCCAAGGCATCCATCCTTTCTCGATTGATTATTTGTTAGCCAATGAATTATTGCATTG